CTCCTACTTATATCTGCAATATAACATGTGCAATGAGATTTCCGTAAGCCAAGTTTTCGCTAATTATATATAACAAGACTTGAAGCTAGGTGCTTGTTATACTGATTTATCACATTTTTTTTAAAGACGTAAAATCCGCTAACACGCACGAGGGAACGCATAAGACGCTTCATTGCCCTAAAACAATTTTAGAGTGGGACGTATATTGTCCATAACTTTGTAGATGCTTAAACTCGAGGAAATGTCCAAAATCGGTCCCTGCAGCTTGAGAGAGTAAATCGATCAAAACGCTTGCTGTCCTTGTGCGCTAACAGACAATAGATGCGGCATACCTTGGCTACCCTGGGTACACATTGGAGCATAATTTCCATCAGCGCGTCGAATTCTGTGTTTACGTCCGCAACAATATCCGCTGTAAGCGTCTCCGTTACCTTGAAGACCCCACTTTCTCTACGATCTGGGTATTCATAGATACAGGAATGGACAAAATTACTTATTCTTGTATCTACCGATCGTACAGCGGTGACCAGGTGACAACTAGTTGAACTATTTGAACACCTCAGTAAAGCCTCTGATGTGGCTCGAAATTGGTACCCTAATTGAACACCGAGTGCGCTCGTGCTGAAAAGCACAAGTATATGGCGTACTTATCCTAGGCCGATGATCGAGACCGCAAAGCTACGAATGTTAGCCTTAAGAAGAGAGCCTTTTACCAAGCCGCCAAGTTTTGCAAAGAGGCGTTACGGCAAGCCAGTTTCGACCAGTAACAGTACAAAGCTCCCTGTCAAACCATCCGACAGTAGAGCTTTTTGGTCTCTCGCCAAAGCGGTCGAGACAAACTTCTGCCGGTCTACATTGCCTCCGCTGGTAAAACCGGATGGCTTACTGGCGCATGCTCCTAAGGAGAAAGCGGATTTATATGCTTCTCCTTTTGCTTGCAATTCGCTTCTGGACAGTAGCAAAAGCGTACCATCTCAATTACCTCACTGTGATACCTCTATATCAGATATCCGTATCACCACCAAGGAGGTTTTTAAAACCTTGCGATTTCTAGACGTGAACAAAGCTAGTGGACCTGATGGTATACCGGCTAAAGTTCCATAGGTCTGTGCACCCGAGTTGTCTCCTGTGTTGACGCGGTTGTTCCGCCTCTCATTCAGGACTGGAATAGTGCCCAAATCTTGGAAGCTGGCCAATGTGCAGCCTGTGCTTAAAAAGGTAGCCGTGCTGACCCCGCCAACTATCGGCCAATTACAATTACCTCCATACTCTGAAAGAATATGGAATGACCAGCAATACGGGTTTCTCAGAAATCGGTTAGCTGGGGACCTTCTAGTGTATACCACACACATATGGCGCGAGGCACTCGAGAACAGTGGGAAGCACTTGCTGTCTCCCTTGATGTCTCGAAGGCCTTTGACAGAGTTTGGTAAGCTAGCCAAGATCAAAAGTTTGTTAAGCTTCCAGCGTACGGCTTATCCCCTGATCTTATTGAATGGGTAATGGACTTTCTGAGTGAAAGGTCGGATCTCCGGATCGTCGTCGATGGCTGCTCATCCGATCCCGTGGCGATTAACGCCGGTGTTCCTCAAAGGTCCGTTCTCTCAGAAACTCTCTTCCTGCTGAATATTAATGATTTGTTAATGCCCGGTATCTATGGGTATGCAATGTATGATAGCGTAGTTGTGGAGAGACACCAACCAAGTGCCCGGGCCAGTCGGGATCAAATTCAGTCCCAACGAGAGACTATGATTGAGCGTGTGAATCTCACACTAGAGCAGTCTTCGAATGGGGCGATGCCAATCTCGGGAGATTCTACGCCTCCAAAACACATGCGTGTCTTTTCACCGCTAGAAGAAACCTGATCACCCTGGCTCCAAATTTCCGGAATGTAGCCTTGGAGTACACTAACCGCCTTCAGTTGTTAGGGGTTAAATTTTCTCCGAACCTCAACCATGGGCGGTTCATTGAGTCCAGAGCCAAAGCAGCCACAAGGAAACTTGATGTTCTTGCAAGGGTGCGGGTGCACTTCACGCCGGGGCAACTTCTTACCTTATATGAAGCGAAAGTCCGGTTGCGCATGGAGTACTGCTGTCACATATGCGCTGGTGCTGCAAAATGCCACCTGGCAGCATTGGACTCAGTGCAGAGACGTACTAAGAGGCTCATTGGTGACCTTGATTTGGTTAAAACCAACCTTGTCAGCCTCGAGCACAGGCACATTTCGGAGAGTGTGCGCAGGAATTGCAGGTTTTAATTCCCCCTCTTTTCCACCATCGGACGGCCAGACGGTCGGCGGGTCTTCACCCCTTCGTTGTAGATATTCCACCCATTAGAACCAAACGGTTTACCACCACCATATTTCCTCGGCAAGTACAACCTCATTAAAATACCGTTTTTGGACTTTACTGCTCAGCAAAAGTATGACATCATAAAATTTCAAATTTCAGGCCATAGAATGTCTTTTAATACTAGTTAATTATAAACGATCGCTCGTCACTAGCCGTAGTCACAAGAATTGTTAAAAATAACAGAAATGCAGTGCACACTTTAGGAAAGCTTGGAGAAATAAAAAGATTCTGTATGGTTAATAAATCAGCAAGTTCTTCTATAGACGACGTTTCTATTTGGTGTCACCTTTTTTCTTATAATATCATTGGGTGTCTAAGAGCGATTCGGAAATTGAGAATTTTTATTTTATTTTATTGAAACAACATTACATTGTGCGTATATTTATCAATATATATAAACAATTTTCAGACATATTATGTAATAAAGAAGCCTTTATAAGTTAACATTTTTTTTGCAAAACATTTAAATTTTTTTTCGTCTTCAGCAATGTTACAGTGTATATCATAAGATACCTTATACCGATATTGTAAGTATTGTATATTTATATTACTGTATACCGTATGTTGAGATGTTGTGATATGTGTGCTTGTGTGTGTGTGAACGCGCGCGTGTGTGTGTGTATGTATGTGTGCCAGCGTGCGTGCACGTGTGTATACGTGTGTTTGCGTGCGTGCATGCATTGAGAGGTGAAAACGTGTGTGATATAATAATAAAATGTGTGAGTGTGTCACAACTTCAATCCATCTTTAAGTTAATAAACAATGCCATCTGCCAAAACCTTAATGTAATTTGGCCTTGGACGAACAAAAAAGGTCAATGCTAGAGAAGTGTTTATTACATTGAATAAAACTAAATTTACGGATTTTATCGCGTTTATTTCACTACTTTTACTTATTTTTAATTCCCGACGTTTCGGGTGCTTTACAGCAACCATGGTCACGGGGGGGGGGACTGAGATGTTTGACGTCCCAATGTCATAGTTAGTCCGGCTACCTTCAGTTTTTGAATATTAATTTTTGGTCCGATTTACGCAAAATAATATTCAAAAACTGAAGGTAGCCGGACTAACTATGACATTGGGACGTCAAACATCTCAGTCCCCCCCCCCCCGTGACCATGGTTGCTGTAAAGCACCCGAAACGTCGGGAATTAAAAATAAGTAAAAGTAGTGAAATAAACGCGATAAAATCCGTAAATTTAGTTTTATTCAATGAGTAGTGTTCGCGTAAATTTAAGAAATCATTATGTTTATTACATGTTATTAATACTCTATTTGTAACAGAGTTCTTTGCATAGTTTGTGTAAGTTGGTCGTACATAAAATAATTCCGTAACTCTCGTGCGTTTCTAGGGGTACGAAAACTCATAAGCTCTTGAGTTAATTTTGGACTGTCTAGGGCGCCAGTACAAACCTCGTATATTAATTTTATTAAACGTATATTAATTTTATTATTAAACCTCGTAATTCAGTCGATATTACATAGTGAGCTGTGTGTAAGAAAGCTAGTTTCCCGCTGGGTTCCCCACAATTTGTCCGAGGAGCAAAAGGCGGCTCGTGTAGAATGGTGCCGGAATACTCTGCAACGCTTCAACGGAGGGAAGTCAAATGGCGTTTCTAATATCGTCCCAGGTGACAACCATGGATTTATTCATATGAGCCTGAAAGAAAACATCAGTCAGCAGTTTGGGTCTTCGAAGACGAGGTCAAACCAACGAAAGTGGTTCGCTCCCGCAGTGTGTCAAAGAAAATGGTCACTACGTTTGTCTCGAATAAGGGGCGTGTTGCTACAATTCCTTTAAAGAAACGCAGAACGGTCACCGTTGAGTGGTATATCACGATTTGTTTGCCAGAAATGATAGCGAACGAACTCCGAAAAAACAACCCGAAACGTTGCATCATCTTAGGTCACGATAATGCGAGCTCCCATACGGGTCGGAAGACAAATGATTTTTTGAAGCAGGAAAACGTTGAGCTGATGACCCATCCTACGTACAGTACTGACCTGAGTCCAAACGATTTCTTTACATTCCCTAGAATGAAAGATTTATTACACGGTCAACGATTCGAAGACCCCGAAACAACTGTGGAAGCGTACAAATCAGCCATTTTGTCAACATCAACTTCAGACTGGAATTACTGTTTTAATGATTGGTCTGCACGAATGGAAAAGTGCATTAAGTTGAACGGAGAATACTTCGAAAAACAATAAAATACAATTTAGCTATACCCGTGCATGTGGTTTTTCTTATTCCCGATCATTTCAGTGTGCCCCTCGTACAGATCTAAGTGAGACTAAACAATTTTTTTCAAATCTGAAGCGATGGAGATTAACAGTGGAGGTGAGCTGTCGTTGCGTCGTACGTAAATTCGACAATTTTTTGTCCATACGTAACGCTAAGCAGATTTTTTGTTTTTGTTTTTGCTTCAAGAAGAAGTTTTTTGTTACGTGTTGTTAGGTGTTCATTCACATAGATAACTTTGGGATCGCCAGTGGACAATATAACTTTTGACGATAGGTCCCTACATTTTCGAACGGAGGACAAAATCGTATCTTTTTTCTATTTAGTCGCGATTTGGAACGCGTGATGATAAGGCGCGGTTGCTTGTTGGATGTGTGCTGTGATTTCACTTTGTTGATGAAGTCTACATCAGTTGCTTTTGTCTGGTACTCCTACAATTTCCACGTTTTGCGGACGGGCCCACTGATCATGCTTAGCAAAATCATGCTCGGTTATCGAGATCTTTTTCTGCATATCCTTAAGATTGCTGCTGAGCGAGGAGTTTTCTGTTTTTAAACACTTAGTGTCCTCGGTTACTACGGACAAGGACACTATTTCATCGTACTTGTCACCGACATATTTGATTGCTTTTTCTAATTCACTAATGTTATCCCTAATAACTTGGAATTCTTTACAGATAAGATCTTTATTAATAACAGGCACTTCATTCCTAATTATGTCAAGTATTTCTATGCGCATTTTGTTAGCAAATTCAGAGTCGAAGGCAAGTCCAGTTAGGCAGTCCGGAGAACGCGGACGACGACGTCGAGTCATTACGTAATCATATTATCTGCTTTCCGCTCGATCCTCGTCACCCGAGCACTGCATAACCCTTACGTGTGTGTTGGTATTGTTTCCCTTTGGTTGTTTGCAGCTGTGGCAATTACAGGATGTATTTTTTTGAAGTTATCAGCCTTTAAACCCACACAGAGAAAATGATATAGCTTATTAGTTATTACACATTATTTGGGTGCAAATTAAACTTTCTGTGGCTTTTACATACTTTTTGCATGCATTGCATTTATTCATTTTGCTTACGAAAAACAAAAATGTTATTTGTTTTGAAGGCAAACACTGATTAATTACAGGTAGAATATAAATATTGAACACTAAACTGTAGGCGAAATTAGTTACTCGGCGTGGAGTCTGCGAACGAAAGGTCATATTCGGTGTCGCTTACGCATTTCACCACACAAATTATGCGGTCGGCAGTAAACTAGTAAACACAATAGTTTTGCACTATGTAACATTTGTAATTTTTAATAATTATTACTTCAAGATACTTTGTTTCCTTTCAATAATATGTTATGAAAAAGATAGTTAGCGCTGCACCAGAACTTATTAGCTAAAAATATTTGCTCAAGAATCGAATTTAACCATTAAAAATAATTTTTGAAACGGAGGTAAACAATAACACTGCGTTTTATCAACAATCCCGAGAAGATATCTCAAATAATTTTTTTGGAAAACGAGATAGATATGCTTTTTTGAAAAGTGGTAGGCTGCAAGACAATGAAATTGGAAACAATTTCATTAATTCCAAAGAAATGTGATCTCAGTTAGTTAACGATGATGTCTAATACACAGTCGAATAATATGTTCACCTTAAACAAGCCTCAGGATCTTAGAGAAATTCTTGTGACGAGTTTTAGAAAATTCCGGTTATAGACCAATTTTTTTAGCTATACTATTTTTTTGAGTTTTTAAATCTCCAAATTCATTTCAATACTTTTCAAGGTCTTCCAGGCAGACTTGCAAGTGCCTTCTGGCATTTGAAAGATCAATGACTTTGAATTGAAGTGCTTTAGAGGCCCCACCGATGGTCAGAAAAATTTTACATTAACATAAATACAACCTTCTTCTTTAATAAAAAGCTTCATTTCTTTCATCTGCTTTTCAATTTAAAAGAATAATTTTTGTGAGTGCTTTTTGAACTACAACAAACTGGTTTGTTGTAAGAATTTTAAAGCAAAAGTGGCATCGAAACGTCCTGATCATCTAGTTGAATTTATCATCATCATCCTATGCTCACAGGCCACGGACCGGAGGCTACTTCCGGCTGGGGGCCCGTGGCATTTTGCCCGGCCTGCCACCCTATTGTTACGCCGCTGGACATGGCCTGCTCATACGTTGTTCTGACATTAAACATCTTAAGAAATCTATATCTTATCATAAAGAATCATACATTTGCGGTGGGAGAGATTAAATGCCTGTATCAAAGCAAAAGGAGGCCATTATAAGTAAATTGGCTTTTACTCGATTAAACTTCGATAAATATGTGTTTTACTGTTTAATATTCTGGATAGGAACCAACATGAATTAAAATTTATAGACAAGTCGCGGTTACCGGTTATGACTTGTCGTCGCTGAGAGCAAAGGTTGAGCAGGTTCCTGTAGCCATTCAGCGAGTAAATGCAGTCAGCGTTTTTGGCACTATTATACGGCGGGGAGGAAAAATTTAAATCTTTTTTTACTTTTTTATTATGATTATAAGTATTGTATCAATATATTTTAATGGTATGTACATAAATACACGTAGGTAAATATTTTGGTAAAAGTTATTCATAGCATAAAATACCTTTACCATTACAGTTTAGTAAAAGCTCACTGCTCTTAGGGCTGAACTTACCTCGCTTGGTAAACGGGTTAGCAACTGCTGTTTTCCGTTGTTTTGAGTTACTATCAGGAAGATGCTCCAGCCCAAGATTTTTTTTATATTACTTTGTCGCCTCTTACGACACCTGCGGGACGATATGGGATAGTGGATATTATAACAACGCCATTACACGCTTAAATAAAATTCAACATAAATTAAAAATAACAATTATATTTATACGTGTTAGAGCCACATTGCAGCCGTATTATGGTTGTAGCACGAGTAGGTCGTCTCGGCCGAGGTAGAACTACGCTCTCACAGAATACCAGCGTAAAATAGTAGCTTAATGCTGCTGTGTTTCGTATAGTCAGTGCAGACATCCGGAGATCCTTTTTTACCGGAAACGTGACATTACATCTTAGTCCTTAGAGGTGACGACGCATCTGCATTTTGATTCTTAATGGAGGATAGATGTAGATGTCTATGGGCTACAGCATCCATTTACCATCAGGTGGACTGTGTGCTCGTTTGTCACCCTTATTTTATAAAAAAAAGTTCAATTGCTACGTTTTTATATCGGATCGGTTCAATTATCTGACGATTGAAAAATTGGCCCTAAAACTACTTACACTCTCGTTAACCATGTCAAGAAGTAGAAGAGCTTGTGTTTGCCTGTATAGTGGAATACGTCATACGTTAAATAGTCATAGACGAACGATGTCTTTGGATTTCACTGAGGCTAACAGTTATTACAGGTATAGCGGGTTTGAGATTATTTTTATTAAGTATTTTGTAAAATGCAAAGGTTTATTACAGAGTACACAATAATTACTATTTGATGTAATGCTTCCACTCTTTGGTACACAGTGTGTAGTTAGATTTGCATTTACTATACGCCCCGGTATACATTTACTCCTTTATTGTCGCATCAACGTAAAATACATAGATTTAGTATAAAATCTATGGTAAAATACATCCTCCGTTACATAAAATACGTTCACAAAATTCTTCACAATATGTGTATAGGTCACTTAACGGATATTTCGACGCAGAGGTGTAGTCCTATTCTGCGTACTGTTTTCTACTGAATCGCAGTAGATGTGGTCTTTTAAAAACCTGTACCTACCAGTAGTGGGATTAAATAATTTTAATTCCTCACAGAAAGATGCCCAATCTCGAATAGGCGAAGAATGGTCTCCTTTTGCGTATTTTTCTACATGATACGGGTGTCAAACCATTACACATATGTGTTGTACACCCTGAGGATCGAGATGGGAAGCCTCGTTTCCAGTACTAAGGGTGCCATCGCAGAAATCTAAATAATATTATTTAGATTTCTGTGGGTGCCATATATCTATACTCAACCATTCGAAACAGCATCATAAAGTTGCCCTGGTCGAGCCGATCTATTTGTGCTACAATTATAATATAGCCGCAGCATGGGTCGAACACGTTTAAAATGCAGTGTTAATGTTGTTGAGAAGGTGCTGTGTTTCTGCTAAATTTGGAAACATAGATCGTTATAGTTCATTATAAGAATCGGCTGCTTTCGAATGGAATCAAAAAAAATAACAGTCCGTAATAAAATTATATTTAGTTAAATTGATGTGATTTCTCTGCCATGTAGTAAGTAGGTATCAGATATTCTTACACCGCCACCAAATAAGAATATCCAGTATCCCATATCATCCCGTGGGTGTCGTAGTAGGCGACAGAGGGAAACAAATCAGGAGATGGAACAAACTGTTGTTGCCAACCCGCTTGCCAAGCGTGGCAACTATGGCAAATATTTTCCCTTTAAGGCAATCTATGGGGAAGGCCTATGTTCAACAGTGGACCTTAATAGGCTGTCACAGTAATAGTATGCGATTTCGGCATAAGAACCATAGCTCTTTTCAAGGCTGTCAAAAGAGTCACCAGTGGTATAAGCTAGGAAGATAAATGACAAGGAGGTAATCGGAATAGTGTATTACCGTAGGCACGAACTACGTCAATAATTTACCTGAAGAAAATATCAAATTATATTTCCGACCGTTAATAATAAAAATAAATTAATAACAATGAATAACAAAAGAAATGTTTTTTTTTATTTTTTTAGTAATTCACGTAACATTAATTTAAAATATTTATTTGAATGAATTTTGAAGTGAGTAATTATGACCACAACATGAAATATTATTTACTAACATTCTAACACTAACCTGCTCCCCGATTTGCTTTCTAGCAATCGAGGTCGTCTGTTGTAGCCTGCAGTTGCCAAAACGCAATGACTAATAAAAATAGGTAAAAAAACTTTTTAAGTTAAACGGTTTTATGTTAAACATACATTGCAATGTTTAAAAAACCAAAAAATAATAAAATAGATACAGTCGTGGGAATTATAAACATATGCATAGAGTAGACTAAAATAAAACCGTGGGGCACGTCAATTGTCTACAAATTATCGACTTAATGTGCGATAGAAGAATCGTTTAATTCGTCGTTAAAATAGGCAGTTGGCCCGCAGACGGTGAGGAAATTACTTACTATTTTCTTGCTCATGGAAATTCCAATAGTTATACACTCCATGTAAATAAAAGAGATGTTTCAACTAGTTTATCGTTGGACATTCACACTGCTGGCTGGCGAGGAATCGTTTCACTGCTCGTAGTTTGTCTTTAATCGACTAAACATATGATAAAAGTACTACTCGCTCACCACTATGAAACCCTAAAACTCGCTTATAATCGAGCTTGCTAGCTTGTTTCCACATTCTAGCCCTACTTATCACACGTCCATCGTTGTCGGTTGAACAACTGCCTAATTAAGGTAACATTACGAATCAAACATTTTTACGATTAAGTCGATATTTGTAGACAATTGACGTGCCCCACGGTTTTATTTTAGTCTAGTCTATGCATATGTTTATAATTCCCACGACTGTATCTATTTTATTATTTTTTGGTTTTTAGTACATTTATCTTAAACATTGCAATGTATGTTTAACATAAAACCGTTTAACTTAAAAAGTTTTTTTACCTATTTTTATTTTCTAGTTTTTAGTTTTTATTTCACATTCTGTTTTGTTTCGCGTTGTCTGTTAATTCATTTAGTGCTTCATTATTGCAAGGTTTCTTGCCCGTTAGTTTATTGCAGTCCAACTCCTCTATACGTAGTCCCTGCAAAGATCTTACTCTACTAAGAGCCACGTAGGCTTGACCTTCTTCAAACAGTTTCGCACCTAAGTATACGACTGCGTGATCCACAGTGCTGCCCTGCATTTTATGTATTGTAGAAGCCCATGATAGTATTAAAGGCAACAGTTAAGTTTTAACAATAAATTAACTAAATCAGATCAGGACGTTGCAATGGTTTTTGAGAAATATTTTACTGATATTCCGATCTTAACCACTAAGTCACTGAATTCTTCTCCTACCGTCGCCGAATCATTACTTAAACAAAATGTAAATGTGTGTACAAAGAATTTTACATTTCATAAAGTTTCATGAAAAGATATTGTAAAATATTTTAAGACTATTGATATTAAGAGAACCGCCGATCTGTGGGGGATTTCTGTTGAAGTTATTGCGTCTATAATAGATACAATCGCACCTCAACTATCTATTATTTTTAATAGTAGTATCAAATCTGGTGTGTTTCCTGATTTAATGAAGCATAGTAAAGTAATACCTTTATTTAAATCTGGTAGTACATTGGACCCCGCTAATTTTAGACTTATTTCTGTACTGCCAACACTTAGTAAAATTTTTGAAAAAATTATTCTTGATCAATTGTTAATTTTTTTTAATGTAAATAAATTACTTCATAAAAATCAATTTGGTTTCACAAGGGGTCGCTCGACAACTGATGCTGGTGTTGAGCTGATTAAATATATATTTAATGCATGGGAGAATTCACAGGATGCTTTGGGTTTGTTCTGTGACCTATCCAAGGCCTTTGATTGTGTTCACCATGAAACATTAATTAGGAAACTTCAACACTACGGTGTAAGAAATGATGCTCTTAAATTAATTATTTCATATTTAAGTGACAGAACACAAAAAGTTGTTATTAATAGTATGAGTTCTTCCGGGTCGATTGTACAAATGGGCGTGCCTCAGGGCTCAATTCTTGGCCCCTTTCTGTTTCTTGTATATATTAATGACTTACCTTACATAGTAGGGGATAACCATGATATAGTATTATTTGCTGATGATACTTCATTAATTTTCAAATTAAAACGACAGTTATTAAATTACGACGAAGTAAATAATGCTATAGCTAAGTTATTCAATTGGTTTAATGTTAATAATTTGCATTTGAATGGAACTAAAACTAAATGTATGAAATTCGTAACTCCTAATGTTAAACATGTCAATACTAATGTAATTTTAAATGGGGAGGAACTGAGTCTTGTTGATACCACCATTTTTCTTGGAATCACACTGGACGCAAAGCTTCAATGGCTCCCCCATATATCAAAACTAGCTAGCAGACTTAGTTCTGCAGCATATGCTGTAAAAAAGATTAGAACTCTTACCAGTGTTGAAACAGCTAGAATAGTTTACTTCAGTTATTTCCATAGCATTATGTCGTATGGTATTTTGCTATGGGGACACGCGACTGACACTGAAATTATATTTATTTTACAGAAGAGGGCCATTAGAGCAATATATAATTTAAAACCAAAAGAGTCACTGAGACAAAAATTTAAAGAAATTAATATATTAACTCTGGCCTCTCAATACATTTATGAAAATGTAATGTACGTACACAAAAATAAAAGTAGTTTTGCGAAAATAAGTGATATTCATTCTGTAAATACTAGGAACAGACACAAGCTGGTAGTACCAGTTACTCGACTCCACCGAGTCAGTAATTCATTCTTGGGGCGATGTATACGCTTTTACAACAAAATCCCAGAAAATATACAAAATTTGTCATACACAAAGTTCAAAAATGTTATTAAACTAAGTTTGTATAAAAAGGGTTATTATAATATTAAGGAATTTATAGATGATAATAACCCCTGGGAAGGGTGATCGCTACTAAGCTATTTCTAATTTGTCTTGTGTTGTTGATTGTAAACATGATTGTAAGCTATTATTAAAAAAAAAATAGTCCTGCTGGGTTTCTTGCTGGTTCTTCCCAGGACAGAGGTTTTTTTTTGCGAACCAGTGGTAAATTAAAAAAGTGACCTTCAATAAGTATTTTTATAATCTACATTGAATAAAAAAGTTTCTATTTCTATTTCTATTTCTTCAACATTCTTCTTTCAGCCGTCCCGTAATTGTACTTAGCTGGAAACTGTATGGCTTTCGGTGTATAAGATGTACTCCGTCTCTTGCGAAATCAATTCGGACGGAAGGTACATCTGTTGCATACATCTGAGTTCGACGAAATTGAGGCCAAACGATTTCGTTGATGTAGCCTATAGCGCCATTTACTAATCCCTTTGAAACGTCAATATTGGACCGTAGCATGACTTTTGCCCCCACAAATATTTGCAGTTCCGCTGGTAAACCCCCAGTTTTGTTGATATCAGCTGGTATTATAGTAGCTATATCCACATTGTCTGCATTTCGTGTGGCGTGTACTAGCTGATCCTGCGCTTTTATTTTGTAAATGCGAGCACCATTATTTCTGTACAAATTTAATACAGCAGAGTTGTGGTCGTTAACTTGTTGATTTGTGGGGTATACCCTTAACGCTTTGTCTATTGCAAACTCATCACTCGTGTCTTGTAGAAGTCTTCCCATTAAAATACTAAAATGTTGGGTTGTTAGCTCACCGACTCTCAAAGCATTCAAAATATCAATAAAAGTCTGGTCACCTTGCTGACGCATATTTTCAGTTAGTTCACACAGCGTGAATAAACGCCAGAGATGTGTAGCTGGTTGGAGATGTTCTGGCTGTTTGAAAACAGGTGTTCCTGATGGTTTTATAGGAGGCAGTTGTAAAAGATCACCGAAAAGTAATACGTTTACTCCTCCAAAAAACTCATTTTCACAGTTCTTAATTTGCCTTAATCGAGCGTCCATCATGCATAACATTTGATAAGACAACATGGAAATCTCGTCGACAATCAAAAATTCTGTCTGATGCCATTGTTGCCTCATTATTCGCAAATAGTTTCCGGACAGTGGTGACATACCTGTACAGGCAATTTTAAAGTACTGTGTATCGTAACTCCATTTATTAATCTAGCTGCAACTCCTGTTAGTGAGCAGACTTTAACCGCATCCTTTGCGTAGCACCTATTAATTTGGTCTCGTAATAACTTTAATAGAAAAGTCTTGCCCACACCAGCTCCTCTTGTAAAGAATATTTTTAAACGTTCTTCAGCACCTGACATTTGATTTTGTATGGACTGGGTAACTAATGTAAAAATTTCCTTTTGTCCTGCATTCATAGACTGCTTAGCCTGTAAGAACTGGTCTTCATTCATTGGCAAATAAGGAACTTCTTCTTCATGGTCTAGTTCCATCGGCTCTGCGTGTTCCAGTATCTGAAATGCGTGTACTTGCGCGAATGCATTTTCAAGCTGCCTGTCACGTTCACGATATATTTCCAAGTAGGCGTTTGTTTGTCTTAAACTTTCTTCGTTGGCGAGAAACGCATCTCTGGCACTATTAAATTTTTCTAAAAGTTCGGCCTCATTGCGATACGGCATATACTGGATTAGTAAACTGTAATAATATGACTCTGGATCAGAAGCTGCTACGAAGTTAGGTACCCGTACTACAGCTGGCGTGTTTCTAATAGTCATTTTGGTGTTGTCTGTTAAAGTTATAAGACGCCTTCTTGTTGTTTGCTCGTGCGGTGCATAAGCATCGGTATCGATGCTCTCTTCATTTATAACTGGCGGTTTTGTGTAGTGTGGCTCAAATAACATCGCAAATTCTATGAGACACATATTGTTAAAATCATAGTTGGGATGCTCTGCTGGTCGCTTTTCATATCGTTCGAAAATATTGGCACAATATCCTGCTGCTTGACCAGCTTCATTAAACTTCAACACTTTATACCTTTGTTCCGCTTTACGAGTATTGACAAAAATTGTTTTTCTCGAGCTGTCACGCATACTCAAATGGCATAGCCTGAATACGCATTCGCAGGCTGAAACTTGACGTTCTCTTAATATGCGCATGCATATTTTAAACAGCTTACGCGAGACGTCAGTTTCTTCTCTTCTAATTTGTTGAATAGCTCGAGATACTTCACCATCTAGGTTTGTAGGTTCTGATTTTGACACGTATTTAGCGATGTAATACGCAATCGACTCATTTGTACCACACGGTTGTATATCCATATTGGCTTTCCACATTTTTAGCAAAGCAGGACTGTAATTATTTACCCAACCATCTTCACTTTTTCTTTTCAGAACGCAAATGCGACCACCGTTGTAGATGAGTTCGTTAGATGAAGGATCAATAACATGTGTCTCTAAGCATTCCGAGCGTGGAAAGTTGAAACGACAAACAGAATTATTTTTCGTACAGGTACTAGTGTGTCGATATATTTGACAATTTTTAACTAATTCATATAGTTCTGAAGTTTCTGGAGGAATGGCAGTACTACAGACTGAATCAATGCGAGCTATTCCTTCAGGTGTCGCAACAGACGGGTGATCTTCGATCCAAACAACCATATGCAAATGAGGACTTCCTCTGTTCTGAAACTCGATTCGCCACCAATGATCTTTAACTTTACCGCCAAATATTTCAGTATCAGTTTTAAGAAACTGCATTAGCGCATTAACACGTACCATAAAATGTCTACTCACAACAACTGGATACATCTCGATGAGTCTCTGAGTTTCCTGAATATCTATGTCATCTGAGTCAATGTGCTGTTTACCATCACTAAAAGGAGACCTCTTTTCATATCCTTCCAGTGAAGATCATTGCAGCTCAATATAACAAAATAAGTGGGAGGTCCTAAACATCTGATTTGTGCTATAAGATCACTAAGAGCACTACGCCAATAAGCAGCGGAACCTCTTAGATTTTTTAAATATAAGTGCAGGTCTTCCACTCGATTGCCGTTTTCACCTTCAACTTTTCTAGCACAAGCTGCAATGGTTGATTTAACTCGATAGTACTCAAACATTGATAGAGCATAGAATAGGTAATCGTTGCGCTGAATCTAACATCAGCACCTAATAAACGAAATTGATAGTAATCCAAAGGACTTATATTTACGGGCCGTTGTTCTTTCAAACCATTTTTTCCATACGGGAAAAGCTGATACCATGCGAACTCTTCTGCTTTTAACTCATACGCTTCATTCACAATATTATTATTCGTCTTCCTTCTGATTTCGTTTACATTTTCAGATACCTCTAGCTCATCTTCAACATCAGGTTGGACGCTATCAATACGCAACATTACAGATGTTTGTATAGGTATAGTTTCAGATCTCAGATTCGAAAGCGGTTGTTGTACTTGTACATCCTGATGAGTGATGGCATCTTCCTGTTGCTGTACTTTAACACCTTGACGAGTGATAATATTTTCCCTCAAATGTACGTCTACGCGTGTAAGGGTGTACGCGATATTACGGGATCCGAGGCATCTTTTACAGATGCGGCACAGTTCTTGTAAGTTGTCGCATTCTATAACACAGGCTTTGCCATTTTCTGGTGTTGGTTTTCCTTTTGGGCCACAAGAATGGGAGTCAGCAAAATAGTATTTGTCTTCACCGCGAAATACGCTAACAGATTATTTGACGTTTATATTGAGAATGATTCATGTAAGTTTCGCATTTAACAGGCTTTGTTTTCTGGTGTTGGTTTTCCTTTTGGGCCACAAGAGGGGTGTTTTGTCTTAGAGTACCTGTTAATATTCCTGAAGAATGACTATCAAATAATCTATTTAAAGCTGTATGTAATGTAATGCCGATATTATTGGTATTTGCAGAATCTTGGAGACTCCCGAATAAAAGAGTGTCTTCATCATATTCTATAGAAAATCGGCATTCATACATTTGTAAACTTTGCCTGACGATATGAAAGTTTCGTATCTCTAAATATCCTGTTTCATCCAGTTCAGTAGGATCAAGCTGGGTACGAATCCAGCAATATAAGGAGTCACCCGCTAACATATTAGCATTCAGAATATTGACGTCCCATTGATTAGGGCTTAGGATTGCAGCTCGGACAATGTTCGCCAACGACATAGCACTACATTGTACACCAGCATATCGCGAAGTAAAGACGTTGTAGTCACCTTGATGCCATGAAGCTCGAATAATTCTTGCAACATTATTAATTGGAATGAATGCATTTCGAATTTCATTTTCATTCCTTTCGGACGCTTCATCTTCAGACAATTCGGGCACACTAAGTCGTACTAACTCCTGGTCACTAATTTGGGAATTGTCGTCAATACGTACATCTTTGTAAAGCGGGTTATTTCTGATTAACCATCTTAAAGCACTATAGACTTTTTCGCGACATATTGTGAATTCCCTGGTGATGTTCAAATTTTCTAATCGTTCGGTTACTACAATAATGCCTACCTGGCTTGCAGATCTTGGTAGCATACTAGGCAGTCTTTCACTGACTTCAAAGATATCTTGGGCAAATAAAACTGCCTGTCCTCGAAAACCGTACTGCCCATAGAGGCCACTAAATTTCACGATTTTAACAAAGGGAATTATTCTGCACAGCAAACGTTGTTCCGCCTGTGTCAATGTTTGAATAACGTCTGGTATAGAACCTGGATCCAGATTATTCCAGTAAGCTTTTGGTGGTGCTGTTGTTTTATTACTAGTAACATGTGTTTGATAGCGGGAACATAATAACAATGATATTTTCGAAGTTAACTCCACAGGTAAGTATGTTAATGCAGCAGCGTTGTACCGAACTGTACGAACTTGATTAGGATAACAACGTTTGGTACAAATATCACAAACATGTATACAAATTGTGTTAATAGCATTCTCGAATGCCTGCAGATTATTAGCTCTGCATTGCTGGGTACGCTCTCGTTGTTTATTTAACCTCGTATCGCGATGTTCAGGCGTTTCTGAACCCAACTTCTTTGTCTTTCACGGCTTTGTATTAATCTAACTTCATATTCTTCAGGCGTTTCTGACGCTACCATCTGTGTATATCGCTCCCGTTGTTTTGTTAACCTGGCTTCATATTCTTCAGGCGTTTCTGACGCTATCATCTGTGTGTATCGCTCCCGTTGTTTTGTTAACCTGGCTTCATATTCTTCAGGCGTTTCTGACGCTATCATCTGTGTGTATCGCTCACGTTGCTTTGTTAACCTGGCTTCATATTCTTCAGGCGTTTCTGACGCAGTCATTTGTGTATATCGCTGATGTTGCTTTTTTAACCTGGCCTCATATTGCTCAGGTGTTTTTGACGCTAATTGTTCCCGTCGTTTCTGTAATCGACTATTTCTATCACCTTCACTTTATTTAGCTCGTTTTGCTTTATACTTTTCTTTCGCTTTTTGAAGCCTTCGTTTACGTTGTGTTGCAGTTTCTGTTTTATTTGTGTTTGTATTTTTTATATTTTTTTTTACCATTTTGTTCCCACGAGTAATGGACATTTAAACGGTCGACCCCCCCCCCCAGAGGTCCAATAAAGGGGCAAGGCTATGTACAACAAGATGCGCCTGAGTCTTGAGGGGAAAACGCTAACGACATATCATTTTTATCCACCCTAATGCCATACAGTTCTCGGCGCGTTTTAACCTTTCACCTTAACTTGGGTGGTGTACCGCTAACGACGTATCATTTTTAGCCACCCTAACGCCACACAGTCCTCAACACGATACAAAATCTCGACTTGGGTGGTGGATTCAGGCTGGATTAATCAGATACCTAAATTACAGATTCAATTTCTAAATTTAAATCTTATTATTATACGCCATTTGGTGGCTGCGCCAATCTTAAATATTGAGGTTGTATAGTGCACTGTATTCTTCTTGTCAAGCCCTTTTATTTGATACCCATATTGGTGGGATTGATAAAAAATTGTTATCAGCCATTTGGTAGCGGCGGCCATCTTAGATTTCAATTTTGCATAGTAAATTGTATTCTACTTGTTGAGACCTTTCATTTGATACCCATGTTGATGGGATTGATAAAACCTAAGTTATCCGCCATTTTGTAGAGGCCGCCATCTTGGATTTTAATTTTATATAGTACATTGTATTATACTGGTTGAACACTTTCATTTGATACCCATATTGATGGGATCGATAAAACCTACGTTATCCGCCATTTTGTAGCGGCCGCCATCTTGTATTTCAATTTTTTATAGTATATTGTATTCTGCTTGTTGAGCCCTTTCATTTGATACCCATATTGATGGGATTAATAAAACATAAATTATCCGCCATTTTGTAGCGGCGGCCATCTTGAATTTATCATTATAAATGAATAAACATAATTGTATTGTCACCAAATCCAAAGTGTATACAAAATTTCAGATTAATCGGTTGACAGGAAGAGGGTGAAATTTGAATTACTAAATTTGACCCAAGAATAATAAATAAAACAAACGGGGTGAGCTAAATAAAACCGTTTAAAAAACGCATGAAAAAGAAGCGCATTCATGCTCAGCAAGGACGAATGTCTTGAAATTGATTTTCTAAATAACTATGATGATGAACATGAACTAAAACTTGTAGTAAGATGAAAAATAGCCCAAAGGCAGAATTTTATATTTATACCATTTTGATAACTTATTTAACAATTATTATATATAAGCCTGTGATTGACTACTATCACACCTGATGGTAAGTGATGATTCAATCTTTCTAGTAACTGGTTTCTTCACGGAATTCGATGGCGGTAACCACAGATCACTATTACTTCTAGCGGTTGTTGATGCGGCTTAAGATTTACGTAATGCCACTATTATTTACTCTGTGGTAATGCTGTTCTTTGATTTTATTCTAATTGCGGAAATTAGTCAATCACAAACAAAAAGTCAATTATATAATAAGCCAATGTTGTCAGCATGAATTAGTTAAATAAAAGGTTACTGCATTTTTTTATTTGTAACTAGACTAAAGACTTGATTATCTTGTCAATGGACATTGGACACATCGACACATGCAGCCAAATTCAAACAAAGAAGACAAGACAGGATAGATGCGTTGTCACCTAGTAGGACTAAAATGGAATACGTTACGCCTGTACTTATACTGGCGTAGATATTCGTATTAGTATCTTCGAGTATTGCACATCTAAGACTATTAGAACGGAACTTTGCGTGCGGTTTTAGTGGTACTTACTGCATATAATAATAAATTCAAATTGTACGCATAGATTAACAAACACAATTGACAGATTTTTACCTTGAGAGCGATATCTCTTGTCAACGACTCTCGCTTGACATTTTTATGTCCAGTCAATAGATTTTGTGTTATTGACATGAACGTAAAGATCTAAGACCACCAAATAAGGCATAAACAACTTATCCTGCAATTCAAGAGGAATGAGGAACTTATAGCAATAGATGCGAGTATTAAATATATTAGACCTTGTAAATATTTTTATTTATTATATTTATATATTTAATAGTTTATGTACACACGTACTTTGATAGGAAAATGGTATAAAGAACATGTACAAAGGCACAGCTTATTCCATGTTGAAATTTCTTACAGCAGGACTTTTGAAAAAAATATATAAATGAAAAATATGCATATTATATATAATAAATAAAATGTAATATAGCCGCAAGTATATTTCTTTTACTGATATACATTCCTACTAGAATAGAGCTAGAGAATGGAGCTTGGTATTGAAAGACGGAAATCTAAAAGTGTAAAACGATTTTTATATACATATAGTGAAATAGTAAGATTATGTATAATATTTAAAAAAAAAAAACAGAGGATTCGAGTACCCCGCGAAGGCGGATTGGGGTAAGCTGCTTGCGATACACAGAGACGTGATCGAACTTCTATATCGAATACATAAATTTTGCAAGCACTCAAGTTTATTAATTTACTCCTCAATATCATCCAAATAGCAGACATCTGCGTAATCTAAAACTAGAAAGATAAACTTGGAATCATTAATAACGCCCAGGTGCTGGGCAGTATCTGAGTAGGTAATAGTGGTATCATTGATTCGTAGAGTTTGGAGAGAGGAGGAATCAAGACACGCGCAAATGTTTTGCCTTATTTCTTTAAGTTTGGGATTTAATTGGGTTTATCGTGAGACCTATATATATATATATATATATATATATATATATATATATATATATATATATATATATATATATAATACGTGGTATGGCCATGCTGCAGTTATATTAGTGGTGTAGTTGTAGCACGAATGGGTCGGCTCGCCCGGGGAAGGATCACGCTCTCACAGAATACCGGCGTCAAATAGTATCTTAATGCTGCTGTGTTTCGTATGGTGAGTGTAGAGAACCGGAGACCCTTTTTACTGGAAACGAGGTATTCCATCTTAGTCCTCACGGGTGACAATGCATCTGCATTTTGATTCGTAATCGAGGATAGATGTAGATGTCTATGGGCCGCAGCAACCACTTACCATCAGGTGGACTGTGTGCTCGTTTGTCACCCTATTCTATAAAAATAAAACCAAATAATCTGGATCTTAATCATGTTTAAAAATCGTAATTCATTGCTTCAAACGCCAAGTTAGCTTCGGTCGCCACAAAATGACAATATAACTGCAAATCGTCAGCATAGAGGTAGTAATTAGAGGTTATGGCTTTGGTGATACAATTTATAAAAACGGAAAAAAAGCATTAACATTGTACCATTCAGAATATATTTAAGTAGAACGAACACTTTGTGTAAACGATCACCGAGATAGGAGTCAAACCATTGAATAGAAGATCCACTTTACGTGGTAGAGCCATGTGTTGTAGCTATATTACTAGTATAGTTGTAGCACGAATTTGTCGGCTTTACCGGAGAAGGACCACGCTCTCACAGAATATCAGCGTCAAATAACAGCTTAACGCTGCTGTGTTTCGTATGGTGAGTGTAGAGACCGAAGACCCTTTTCACTAGAAACGAGGTATTCCATCCTAGTCCTCACGGATGACAACGCATCTGCATTTTGATTCGTTATTGAGGATAGGTGTAGATGTTTATGGGTCACAGCAACCACTTACCATCAAGTGGACTGTGCTCGGCGTGGTCCGTTACGCAGGTGGAGAGGCCGCTGAGGAAGGCGCGCCTTGTGTTCCTGGTGCACCTTACCTGAGAAGGAAAAGGGAAAGAAGTCCTCCCCGATGATGGGCTGCTATGGGGTGGGCAACTCTGGAGGGACGCGGATGTCTGCGAAAGCGTTCCTGTGGCCCTGAAAATATGCGGCGAAGGTGGAACACCGTGAGGTTTAGGTTGGTGCGAGCCTGACATAACCCGTCGTTGCCTCCGCGAAGCGGGTATGCGTAGGCATTTCTCCATGTAAAGGTTAAAGAAAAGGAACTGTAATATTAGAGCTAATACAGTCATTTCCAACAGCCGTCATCGATTAGTATTGTACTCAATAACTAGAGCAAAACCAAATGTGACACTGTAGAACTAGGTTTAGGAAAAGAGTTCACTACTGTCACATGAGTAATGCTACTAAGACGAACGTTACCCTAATTCACCGTGTAGTAGCGATGTAAAATATGAACTATCCTAAATCGCGCTGTTGGTGTCGTAAGAGGCGACAGGGGGGAAGTGAAACAGGATACAGGTATTCGCGAGTATCAAATAAACCGGATTTTCGAGTGTCACTGTAATAAAGAGCAAACATTTCACAAAGATCAATGTGGAGCAAGAAATGAGAGTAGCGGTGTCAAGCCTTATCCCATGCTTTGAAAAAATGTGTGGAGATCATCAAGCATACCTCACAACCTCACATTGACTAAGTTGTCATTGTGTTTTATTTCCTATTTTTCTTAAGTAGTAAATACATAGAATTCTATAATACACAATAGAATGGCTGTCAACCTTATTTTGTACGAGAATAGGCGTCGCCGGGAGCACACATACAAACAATTATCGTCGTCGTCGTATTATCAGTTAATCACTACTACAAACCCGATTCGCTGTGTTGACAAACGGATTTTAATACATATTTGTAAATAGCGTGCAATTTGGCATTTTCTAAATAATTTGCAAGCGAAATTTGGAAACGATTGTAACGTCAAAATACATACCGTGTTGACATTTATAGGTGTGAATTGACGTGTTAGTGGTATTTCAGTGGTTACACGGGATCCGCCCACTCCCCCGTGTTATGTATGTACTATAGTATTCTATGAATAAATGTATTCTTGTGTGTCAATATAAATATAAAAACTCAGCTT